AATGTGATGGCACATATTTAGGACCCCTCTCACTCTCTTGTCACATAATATCACACTTTGTCGGCGTAATTGTTACGTTAAGGGAGGGGCTCTTTAACTTAATGAATTACTGTTTTATCAATCAATTATATTTTAGATTTGTAAATGTGACATAAATTTAGATCCCTTCTCATCCTATTGTCACACTTTGTCACACTTCGTCGACCTTAACATATGACGTAATTAATAGATAACCCGTAATCATAAATATAGATCTTATTCTATAATTCGATAGAACTAAAATATTTATTTAATGAGTTACTATAGATGTGTGTATTTTAAGTGATTCATATACACCTCGTATTCACCTAAATATCGTAGCTTAGTTTATAGGAAATGTGCAATATAATACACTGTGATAAGAATATTAACTCAGAAACAACAGTGAATACATTATGAATCATATCACAATTAAGTAACATGCCGTAATTAATAATAATAATAATCTCAGGACAATACACACAGCGCCATCTAGTCCCAAGTTAAGCTAAAACTTGTATTATGGGTACTAGATAACTGATACAAATATGTACATAGTGGTTTAGTGTAATGATTTACATCCGACGGTCGCGAGTTCGATTACTCGCATGGTGTAAACATTTGTATTCATGAGTATGTTTGTTTGTATCGGTCTGGGTGTTTTCTATGTAATTACAAACAAATCTATGTTATATACAGTACAATCTATGTATATATATCAGTTGTCTAGTACCCATAACAGGAGCTCCATTTAGCTTGGGACTAGATGGCGCTGTATGAATTGTACTGAGAAATTATTATTATTATCGCTATTGTGACATTTTCTCATCTCTTGCTGGTTTTTTACCACACTTACGGGCCGAAAGCAAGTAAGTCATTATTATTATATGGTTTTATGTTTGTTACTTAAAGAAATAGGTTTATATGAATTCGTAAATCCAGATATTTAAATCCAATTTCACAAATTATAGACACGTACCTAATGATGATGATAATACGGTATTTAACTCTGACAACGAATAGTTAATATAATGGTAAATTAATTGGACATACAACGATTCACCCATTCACCGTACAGAAAGTGTTAGTAAACAAAAGATGGCCTAACATTAACTCTGATAAGGAAATTAACGAGTTAGTAATCTCCTTCACAAGTTGTCTTCTATTCAATGAAGCCTTGTATAGAATGTAAATAGCACAACCAACCTTCAGTAGTGGTAGGAGATATTTCAATTTAGTTAAACAACAATTTCATTGAAACATGTTGATACATGTCACGATAAACTTTAGTACAAGCCCGTTAATTATTTCCTCATTATTCATAAACTAGCGACACGCCCCGGCCACGCACGGGTGTACATGTATTATACATATAAACTTTCTTGAATCACTCCATAGGTCAATAACATGTATTGAAATTTGTTTAGCTATTACAATATCGATAGTCCTTTTCTCTCAAACACATTTCAGTCTATGAAAGAAAGTGACAAAATACTGTAATAGTTAAAATAGATTTGTAACTATTAGTTTTATGAATAATGAGGTTTGTTAACTAAATTATTTGTTTGACAAATTTAAGACTTAATGAGAAGGGAAATAAGTTTCAACTCCGCATCTCCTACCACCGCTAAAGCAACCACATACCAAAGAAACTCGCAATAAATATGATCTAACACGTAATTTATCATTTTATTCAAAGTACGCAATAAACTATAATTAGCCAACTAAATTATAATAAAAAAAGAAACTCATTAATGAACTAACAAGGTGAGACATAAGCTTCGTAAACCGATTTCCGAAATATCTTAGCATTATCTACTAATTTCATTAGATGTATAATTTTTACTAAATTCGTAAATAAACAATCTATGTAAAGATATGTAATTCAGGACTTATTTTGTGTAAAAAATCTGAAATATATAGCCCATCTTTAATTCATTGCCAATTGCTAAATCATTATAGGTGGTTTCCATTACGAGAATTTATATATATAAAAAAAATATCTACTATATATAGTCCATAATTACATATTTTTATAGCAATAGGCTTTTCTTATAGGTCGTGAAATCCTCACACCACGGGTCCCCCAGTCAATACGCAAATATTTCAATGAAATTCAGCGCAATTTCACCATATCATAGTTTTTACAGTGAGTAATAATTTATTATTTATTACATAACAAATTTATTTGTGTAACTGTACTTTTTTTGTATAACAATTTGAAGACAAAAACGGCAATATAAAATATACTTACATGATATTTACATTGCTATGTTTAGAAAAATTTATTATTAAATTAACAATCAAAAATAGTGTTTGTTACGTTTGTAATAAATTTCATTATTACTTATTCATTAAACAAATGTCTAATAAATAAATAAAATCTTTACGACAGTGTCGATTATTTTGTAGAACTTCATTATACAAAAAAAATACTGTATTTGTGAATATATGGTATGTAAAATATATAAGCATGCACTAAATATCATTGGAATATGAATTTGTTCATTGAAGTAGGAAACGAAATATTGAAAGCAAAGAGAAGATATCACAGAGCAGCAGAATAGAAGCTGTGTAAGTACATATGCGTGTTAATGACTGGAGGAGACCAGGTTACCCCTGACCGATCATAACTGTTATGTTTTATAAGTTCACTTGTTGACAACAAATATAACCATACAAAATACCCCTAAAGTCATCCAAAAATATAAGTTTCAGTCGATCTGTATTGTTCAGAATATATATAATTATAAAATATATATATTAAATAATAAATAGTTACATCAAAGCCAATTTCAATACAAAATCGACTATAAAATCCATAACACCATAAGCTATCGTGTACATTATGAAAACAGTAACATAGTACCTATACGCTGTATATGTATCCGGACGAAGTGTGCTCTGGAAAACGACAAAGTACAAGCGAAATTCATTGTATAACCCGGTTTATATTGATACCATGCAATACCTTACCAATAAAACGTAAGCGGCCCATGCTACACCCAGATTCGTTCACGAAACGTGAAGACCATTTTAAACATAAAGTGCCACACTTACCGTTCAGTTACAACGACGGTCATGCACATTTTCCATAACACAACCGGTTCGGATACACATCCAAATTATTACAACACTTGTTTTTATTAATAAACACATTATTGCATTGTAAACTAGTTTGTACGTTTGCAACTTTGACAATTTTTGTTTATGGCAAACTCAAAATGACAAACGTGGCTAATGTTCATGAACAGTACTTCAGAAATCACATCGGTATGTCATTCCTGTGGTATCCTTCATTACTTGCTGATGGCTAAAATGGCAAAACTTGTACTTTTAGAGGAACACTAATTAATAGTAGAAATTAGACTGAGCTTCCCGCGCAGACGACATTGTACAGTAGATATACGTTGGTAAACTACAAATGTTTTATGTTAATTATTACATGTATTGTCAAAGAGGCAAAATGTAAATAAATTTAGAAATGACAGAACAAAGATTAGCCATTACACCGTGTTTTGTGACTGAAGCCCCATACCTATGTTTGTGAATACCGAGACAATGGCAACACCATAAACAACAAAGTTAACTTTGTAAGGATTTCTAAAGAGATCCATTATACAAAACACCAGAATTTGAACACGTTTCTAACAATTTCCATTGCATATATTTACTATTAATTTAGCATTATAATATTTATCAATTTGACATAATATTTATGCTATTGTAATAGCAATTTTACATTTGTCAATTTGACATATTTTTTTTAGTATTATTTTAGTAAGTTGACATATTTGCTGTCGGCAATTTCACTATTGGTTTAGCAATTGTAATTGCTATTGGAATAGCAATTTTACGTTACGTAATTTGACATAATACTTTCGATATTAGTTGAGCATTTTTACATTTGTCAAATTGACATCATATTTTGCTATTGATGTAGATATTATACATTTGTCAATTTAACATACTTTTGATATTTATTTAGCAATATTTTGCCAATTTGACGTATTTTCTGATGGAAATTATACTCGTAGTTTTTAGAAATTGAATATATATATATACTTAGGATTGTTGAGAAATGTGTCCAATATATATTTTACTGATTTTTAATACTGATTTATCTATATACTATGTGGTGTGAGGTATTGAATAATGACATTAAGCTAGGTGGATATAAATGCTTTAAATTGTTAGGTTGTGAACAATATAGATATGACCTGGGTATCGGATATCAGGAGAGGATAAGTGCCAATAACGATCGCGAATAACCGAAGCAAACGTAGAAATTCCTAAATCGATTTAAACAAACAAACGCAACAATAACGTTCTACGTAAACTTAATATAAGTATGATCTAAAAAAAGTGTAAATTGACAGCAAAAGGTGCATTGTACTCAATAAAAAACGACATAATATTTAAGTACCTAATATTTTCAAATAAGTACTCCGAGCACATAATTTTTCAGACTATCATTCAGCCTTGACGATATTTGTCTTTTAGCTAATGGAATGTCTATGGTTAAAAATCACAACAATATAAAATGATCTCTATATAGATCTCTATATACGAAGTATATATAAAGCTAAATATATGCCTAAATTGTCATTTATTAACAACCGTTCTTTTTAAATACCTAAAAACTAATCTAAACATAGTGCAACAGTATTTAAAGTCAGTACAAATTCAACAAAAAACACTTTGATTTCACGTAACTAACCTAAAATATCGAGGTGCTATACATTAGCTGCCGTCAGTATAAAGACGTAAATTCATGATGATTTAACATGAAAATCATTGGGAAGGCACACAGTGGCAGTTTCAAAAACTATTTGAGCCTGTTGTCACATTTTATACCCTGTTTAAATATTAACTACACAAACCGTTGTCATATCATTCGCAAGTCTTTTAACTGTTCTCTTTATTTACTTTTATACAATTAAAATATCAACGCGCCAATGGTAAATTTCTTTTTAAACATACGTCTTAATTACGCTGCCTAGGCGATCTATTTTAAGACATTTAGACAAGCCGTCCGTCTCTGTCTACCCTGCAAGGGTTCTACCGTGAAGATAGACTATATTAAACACCGGGGTAGTACGGGTAGGTAGGGAACATCGGCAGCGTGGCGGTAGGAAATGACGCACTCATAGAAGCCGGGAGCGCGGAAGACAAAGACCCGTATCCTGCCGGCAGAGCGGTGGGTATAGCCGTAGGAAGACCACTACCGTACGTGGAAAGCATAGAGTTCGTATTCGCGTACGAGAATATCGGCGCGGACGTGCCGTAGGAGAGCACTGGGAGGGAGAGAGCCGGAGCCATGGGAGGGGGGAGCGTGTACGGGCGCTTAGCGGGAGGCGCCTCCGTGGGGGTGAAGGCGCGGTCGTAGGTCCTCTTCGTGGGGAGCAGCGTCTGCTGCGCGGGGAGGAACTGGGGCAGGGAGTAGGGCCCGCCGGGCGCGGGGGGGCGCACCGCGTACGAGGGGAGGAGGGGCAGCACGGGGGCGCGCAGGGAGGCGAGGAGCAGGTTCTCGTGCTGGCGGGCGAGCAGGCTCTGGTGCGCGATGTGGTGCGCGAGCAGGCGAGGCGCGGGCGCGGCCGCCGCAGGGGGGGGGACCAACGTACCGGGGGAGAGCACCTTGGGGGACGTGGCCGGCGTCACGCCGCCCGTCAGCACCAGGTTCATGTCGTCGCCCGAGCACTGGAACACCTGCAATAAACGTATTATACCTCATTAGTAAGGATAAATACCTTAATTTACAATAAAATTATTCGTATAAAGATCTGTTTAACTATATAAATTATCATTAACTTAATAGTCATGATACTTACCTCGATGTACCGTTGCTTCTTGCCGAAAGTCATGTACCGATGATGCTTTTGCTGCGCACACAGAAACGCGCTGGCTTCGCTGTCCATTTGTATAAATGCTTCTCCACTGGGGTGACCCTGTTGCGTAAGTGCGGAATTATTAATAATTTATTTGTAATGAATTTATTTATTTACAAATAAATAATTTATTTATTCAAACTTTAGAAGGTTTGTCGTTTTAAATATATTTAAAATAAAAAAATAGATACATAAATTTATGAACGAAATAAAGATTTTATCGAATAATGACGATATTCTGTCATACTTGTGAACGAGTGGTGCTTGTAGCGACTGGTCTTCTCTAATCACTACGACTGATTTTTGTTGCTCAACCAATTACTGGTATATTTATTATTTTAACTCTAATGAATTACTGTTACTTGGTAGTTCGTTTTCAAATATTTAAACTTCAAAATTAGGGTTACAACTAAATTACTTAAAACAGTGTTGCTCTTTCAAAGACCAGCTTCTTAATAGTTCTTCTTGTATGAGACAGTTTTCTGAATGAGCGGTAGATTAAATAATAAGATTATGACTATTCAAATAATTTAAATGTTAATTTCAATAAAGAATTTTCTATTCTATTATATAATCACTTACTTGAGCATTATAAACCATATGTACACCTTGAACCACTATGTTTTTGGCAAATTCGTCCAGGAAAGTTAGTATGTGTTCCACCTGCAACAAGGATTTGAAATATGAATTCATCTCTGTATATTTACGGTTAGATACATTCATTCATAATTTTATAGCCGCGCTTTTGATGAAGTTCTTGCAACTTTCCACGATCTTCTATCAATCTCTTAGTTGTTGATACGACACGACTCCAATTTTGTCTTTAATCTGCTTGATACAGCTGTGTCATAGGTATGTATAGTATATTTTTATTTATTGGCTTTATGGACCAATAAAAATAAAACATGTTATACCAGTCTTTTGAGAAGTGTAGAGATATATTTGTGGCTAAACAATATGCTATGTCCATATTATTGTCAAAAATAATAGTAATAAGTGAATAATATCAGAATATGCAGAATAATAAATATCAGTTTAAAGACTTTTATTATTTATAGTACTATAATACAGTAACTAAAGACAGTCGCTTGTAAATAACGTTAGAAATATCACGCCGTTATTATTTATTGCTTTCTGATTAACGAGTCCATTGTTTTCATTTATTCTTTTTATTATTGAAGTTTAAGAAATTGAGGATTGTAATGAACATTATTATTTCCAATAACAAATATATATCTTATCATCATCACCATCATCTTACGTCGTTCTGTGAACTCCTACAATTGTTTATTTAAAAATAAAATTTTAATCAAAATGAAATGCAATAAATCTTTTTTCTATACATATCATCACTTAGTATAAAACAAAGTCGCTGTCGCTGTCTGTCCGTCCCCTTGTATGTTTAAATCTTTAAAACTATGCAACGGATTTTGGAGCGATTTTTTTAATACATAGAGTGATTTGAGAGGAAGGTTTATATATATAATACATGTACACCCGTGCGAAGCTGGGGTGAGTAGCTAGTATATATATATATGTATAACGTATTAATGTATATATTGACCGTACACTGCTATAAATTCATAAACGTTTTAGTTGACTTACTTATAAATGCGTCGTCTAGTTCCAAGAACGCTTAAGGTAGTTATTATACTTACTTTGCAATACGTCATTCCACTAACCATACATTTGCAAAGATCAAGTCATTTAAGATAAAATAGGAATAAATACTAACCTGCGCTTCGTATGGCAATCCTCGCAATCTCACGCAATCCTTGGCTGTCCCCGATGTGATCACATGTTGGGGCACCAGCACGGGTAGCAGACCCTCGGAGGGAGCCGGGGCTGCTGTTGGAGTACTCGCCGTACTGGAACGTGTCTCCAGCGATCGGTTCAGGACCTGTAGACAAAACGAAAATGTTTTATGTAATTTGAATGGTATAATAACAACAATCACATTGTTGAAAATCCTCCCAGCATTGGTATATCCAAACCGATACGATATACCTTCAAGAAAAATGTTCATTCCTACTTAGAAAGCCGGCAACGCAATTGCAATTCCCCTGGTGTTGCTGGTGCTAATGGGCGGCGGTAATCACTTACCATCAGGTAAGCTACAAGCTCGTTTGTCTGACAGACTGACGGTCTACTGTCACTACTGGTCTACTGATGGTATGTGGCAATCATCGTCTATACAGCCATGGAAAACAACAGGGATATCACATTATAACTAGTGCCTATTTGTTAAATCGCATCCAGAGTTATTTAAAGGATCCAATGACTTTGAGAGAAACACAAAGACTAAGTACGTCCTAAATAAATTAGCTAAAAAAATCAACGCTAGCAAGTTTAAATTGTTACCCAATGGCCATAAAAATATATAACAAGTTGCTAGAGGAGTTAAAACAATTATATAAAAGCAAATTAAAAACAATACTGTATTTACGGGCACCAGTGGAGGATGATAAGATGAGCATGAGGTCAGGTCAGTTAGAAAAACGTGACAAATTCACCAGGAATTTATCATGATAGTTTTGAGAAGCAACAGCGTGGAGGTGAACCTGAATTGGTACATTGCTAGCAATTCAAAAATCGGTTGTCATATAGGTATTTATATAATGTAGATTATTAAAGGGTTATTATTATTATTACTTATATACGTTTTATAACAAGAAACTCGCGGGCCTTAGTCAAGCGTGGATGAGTTTAAAAGTTATATCAGGATGATGAATGTGATGACGAAAGAAATTTTATTTCAATTTATTATTATTATTAGGTTTCTTTTATTTTCTTTTATCTGATCTAAAAGAAGGCAATACTTACCCACACGGGCCTTAGCTAAGTGTGGAAAAGGTTGCGCTATGTGAAGATTATTGTGGATGTCAGAATTTTTGTAATAATGCGACAGGTATTGTGGCTTTTTGTAAGATATATGTATTACATATTATTATTGTATAATGACATGGAAATTATACATTGGGTATTGGTGAAAATATAACTAGTTGAAATTCTTTATTGCACAAGCGTATCGAATTGCAGTAAACGATATGAAAACCAATGCGGGATTTGTAAATCAACGCACGATAACTCAAGGCCAATTCATAAAAGAGTTTGTAATGAAAAGAAATGATTTTTTATTTGCGTATTATACGGTTAGATCATAGTAATATGTCCAGGTATATTATTATATATTATTGGCAACTGTTTAATTGCTTCAATTTATGGGAATACAAATTTTTTAAATGTAATTTTTTTACCAGGAATAATAAAACTTGATGCTTAGTTAAGAAAGCATAATGGTAAATTTTTTTTATACGTAACTGGAAACAAGCTGACGGGCTACATGATGGAAAGTGTCAACCCTCGCCTATATATTATATACTAGTTGTTCTTGCAACTTCATCCGCATGGAATTTAACTTTATTTTTCTAAAATAAAATTAATCTAAGCCTATCAGCTACCTGCCAATAAAAGTCCCGTCAAAATCGGTCCAGCCATTTCAGAGATTAGCCGGAACAAACAGACAGACAGACAGACAAAAATTGTATAAACTGTTATTGTGGTAGGTATATGAAACGTATTTATAATCATATGCATGTAGTAAAACACGGTTATTTCAATATTATAAACTATTATTGAACAGTAACTTGGCTACTTTTATTTTAGAAAACTAAAGTTAAATTCCACGCGGACGAAGTCACGGGAACAGCTAGTCGTCCATAAAAAAAACCCGTCACCAGTCATGCGTTGTTACTCCTGACTATTTATATATAGTTATGATATGTTAAGATGCCATGCTTTTCTTTTAAACATTTGATTTGTAATAATCCGTAATCTTTCCAGTTTGTATAGCATTATTTCCGTTAACATGAGATCAATGAATGTTTTTTATTATTATTCAACAGTTAAAGGTTAAAATAATTAAAGTGCATATCACAGTCAACATGCAATTAATTATCTGTATTTAAATATAATACCTACAGTTACCTAATCTCAGATCTGGGGGTACAAAGGTCCTGAATCATTAAGATAAAATATTATGCTGGTATATTAATATTTAACCTTTTCCACGTTATAAGTAAGTATAAAGTTGGAGTTTAGTATTAAATCAGCAATTACAAATTGAAAATAAATTTGTGTCAAATTTTAAACAATTTAAAAAAGACTTGTTTACCTAGAGGCTTAGCACAGAATTTGTTTTTAGGCAATTGCTTAAATATAGATAAATATGACATCCAAAGTTTGTAAAAATGTTACCATTAAGGACACAAAATAGGGGATGTAAGCTTGTATGGAAATTCATCATTCTTGAAGCTAGAACGATGCAAATTTTTTCTTTTAAATTTTGCGGGTAGATTGTTTTTCTTTATTTGGTCAAGCTCACTATTCTACGCGGATACAACTAATATTATAAATGCACAACAGCTTGTCTGTCTGTTCGTCTGCTTGTTGCTATTTGGGGCATACTCGTTACGTAAATAGAATGACAATTATATCTAGCAAACATGTAATAAAATGACTCAGATGATTTATTGGAGTTTTTAGATTCATAAATTTGTTTACATTATACACATAAATGTGCTATACTTCTATAAAAACTGCAGTTCGTCCGATAAGGGTATCAATACTCGAGAAAAAACTAGAGTTCAACGGAAAATGATAATGTTATAACAGCAAGTAATGATACGTCCCAGGCTTCTTAATGTGTATTACAGCTTAGAGATACTTTGAGTCGTGGAGAATGTATAGCAGCTCTATATTCGTAACTATTCTAATGCTGTTGACTGCAGCTGGCTTTTACAGCTTCATCGAACGATAGGGGGCGGGTGTAGATGGCACTCCAAACCCGCAGCAGGCCTTATGTAGCGGCTAAGGCCAACTCCTGTCTGACGGATATGACTTTAGTCTGAGGGCACTGCTGGGGTTCGAACCTTGTTTGATCCGGGTTTGAATTAGCCAGGGGATTGGTCAATGCGAGGAGACCGGGGGCGCCGGAATTGTAGCGACATCATCAAACAAAATAACAATATATAAAGCATATATATGTTACTATATTATGATACAATCTACTACTACTACTACATACTATGATACTATCTATAATTTTAGTGAATAAAATAGAAAATAACGTATTTATTATATTCACGAACATAATTATTATATCTACTGCCCTGTATATTTCTAGCTGTCTGTAGCCTATAATAATATAATTGATCTATTTAATAATATATTTTGTATAAATCTTAATTCGTGATGACTGATGTCTACGTGAAACCTTAACACACAAATAGACAAGCACATATTTAGGCCAAAAAGATGAACCAAGAATGAATGTGACAAGTCCATTGTTGGTTTCATATTGCAATAGTGTAATTTGAAATATATAGGTATAAACTGATGACTTTAAAGTGTCGTTAAGGACCTAATTGCAAAATGAATTAATTTTATTCAGTGTCAGTTTCCATTCAATTGTATTATTTGCATAGCATTGTGAAAGGTCAAGGAGCGTCAGGTGACAGCGCGTGACACTCCAGGTATTGTATTGCAGAAGGTGTCCTAATTTTATAATCTAAATAAACATATATGACAAAACTATATCATATACTTAAAATTATCGGGCAGGAGGGAATTGTCAGTAATGTGGACTAATAATCCCATTTCTAGCAATGTACCATGACAGGTTGAAATCCACGTGGTTACCCCTGGAAACCCTCGTGGTAAGTTTCCATTTGCCAAGATGGGCTAACTGATCTGACTTCATGTTCTTTGTATCATCCTCTACTGGTGCCCTGCCAGCGTAAACCGTTAGCGCAGGCGACTGCAACATTCCATTATTGACTATAAAAAATACCTATAATTATTTTCATACACCACAAATATACATATACGGTTGGCCGCAGCTGGCCTACAGCTTCACCGAATGATATGAGACTAATGCAGATGGCATTCCAAACCTGCGGAAAAACTAACGCAGCGGCTGAAGGCCAACTCTTGTGTGACGGATACGACTTTAGTCTAAAGGCACTGCTAGGGATTCGAACCTCGACTCAAGCAGGCACTTGAATTTCGATCCCCGTTTGAATTGGACGGGAGATCAATCGGAGGGACGACCGGGCTCCGGTGTTGAGCGATGTAAAAGAAAACAAATGACTTACCTGTTGTACTTCTGCTGTGGTAGACCGGAACAGCTCAATATATCTTGAGCCGATTAACTTTCTGTGCCTAGAGAGAGCCTTTGGCGCGTCATCTTCCTTTGCAAATAGAACAAACGCATCCCCAGTTGCACGACCATCTGATCTTCTTACAAAGAGCACCCCGTCCGCACCGTCTAGCACTTGAACTGGATCGTCGCCGGTCGAGAAGAATTCCAGCTGGCAAATAATAATAATCATTTAGTTAAGATCAGCCAAGCAGAAGAGGAAACGCCAGTACACACTCTATGTGTTTGTAGCCCATCCATGAATTTAATTTAGTTTATTAAATTAAGTATATTTTATAAAAAAATATAATATATAAAATAACAGTAACTTAAGCTATCTGCGAATGAAGGTTCCGTAAAAATCGGACCAGCCACTTCAGAGATTAGCAAGAACAAACGGTCACAGAAAAAAAAATTAAGTACTGTATATATATATATTTAGTGAAAAGCATAATATGAAATACAAAAAGACTCTTCAATTTTATTTAAGAGATAGGATTCGAACCGCCAAATTATGAATAATTGCCGTTATTAATTTATAATTTTACTGACTGTGCCTGTGGTTTTACTCACTTTAAATTTAAATATACAAATTTCAATAAAAAATAAAGCCTATATGTTACTCTGATGCATAAGTTATTTTACTGTAAAGTTTCATCAAAATCCGTTCAGTAGTTTTTGCGAGGTAGAGCACCAATCATCCATACTTACACTTCCGCGTTTATAATATTATTAAGATACTAACAACTTGTTGAGGTGTAGCATCATATGGCAGACCCCGCATCCGAACTATGACCTGCGCACCCCGCGTTAGGAAAGCCGCCGCTTCACACGTTGCACCGCCAGCGACTGATAGGAAGTCCTCTCCATTTGCCCGGTACACCTGTTCAGGTAACATTATTTATTTATATCTTATATAATTAGGCCTTAATTTGCGGAAGTTCATATCATTACTTATAGATAAAGCAGACGGTAAGCAGAGCTTGTATTATGGGTACTAGACAACTCAAATAAATACTTAAGATTTTTTTTAAATACATAGAAAACACCCAGACCGATACAAACAACCATGCTCATGAGTACAAATGTTTGCACCATGTAAGAACTTGGACGGTAGGAAAATAATTATAATATAAAATAAAAAAAATTACGTTCATAAGCAGCTAAAATGTCCTACATGAATAAATGATTTTTGAATTTGAATTTGAACCCGCGACTATCGATAGTAAATCGATGTACTAAACCGTTAGAACATCGAGGCTGTCATTTACTTAATGGATGTGTAATTCCACTACATGCTAATCTGCATGTCTGAGACCACAAATATTCAATGCGGAAACTTGAACACTGCCACTGGAAGCACTATAACCTTCTCCATTAGTGATCAGACTCCGACTGTTCAAAATCAAATTCAAAAGTCTTTATTCATGTAAGTCTATTACAGACTCTTATGACATGTCAAATCTACCGTCAGTTCGGAATGCTTTTGAAATGAGAAGAACTGACAAGAAGCTCGTATTATTTTCAAATATGGTGTTTACAATAATAAAGATTCATTTAAATTCAAATTTGGAAGAACAGCGTGATCACCAGCATATACTACTGCAATTTTATCAAAAGGAATATTTCCTTTAATCATTTATCGTATATTTTCTTCTATTAATCTTTATTATATATTTTCTGTGTCCGTAACCCGAATAGACCAGTCCCTTGAAGCCGTTATTATATTTATTTATTTATTAAAGGTAAACATGGCTGATTAAACACATGTTGAATCAATATAAAAACATACCTACTAAGCCACTGACAGGCTTTTACAAGTAATCGGAGTTATCAGATACACCCATATTGCGACCAATGTTTCACCTATAAACAAGGTAATCAATACAGTTTGGGGTCCAATGTTGACTGGTCGACGACCAGTCTATGACTGTCCAAAATATAAATTATAGAACGCAAACAATTTTACCTTTTTTTCCTGATGAAGTGTCCTGAATACTGGTGGGTAAGCGTGAAAAAATTGCGACTTTGATTAATATTCTGTTTATTTTTAGAAATATTTTAGAGTTAACTGGTACGGAATGGAAGAAGTCAGGAGATCTAAAGAAATGGGATAGCTACAGTTATGGAGTTTGTTCTTATTATGAAGAGTCCTATGGTCCATAATTGTATGTACTCACCTCAATGTACCTTGGGCCGATGTGGTGCTTATGTCTTCGTTCGGAGTTCTCAAGATGGTTGCGATATTTAAAATGGAATGGCTACAGTTATGGAAATCGTACTTAGTGGGAAGTGTCTAAGGTCCATAATTGTATGTACTCACCTCAATGTACCTCGGGCCGATGTGGTGCTTATGTCTTTTGAGAGCCATGTCCCTGTGCTCTTGAGATATGAACCGAACTAATGCCTCGCCGTTGCGTCTACCTTGAGGCGAGAGGCATAGAGCTACTCCACCCCTAAACAAACAAAAAACAGACTTGTAATAACTACATTAGATTTTATATTATCTTTGCTTTCACTTATAAACTTTCATTAGAATTGTCTAGAAAATCCTTTCTGCTATAAGACCGCCATGTTGATATTCATAAATTTTAATTGGAACGCATTTATATCGTGTCCGCGAGTTTCTCGGCGTGTATATATTGTGAACAATCTATTAACCATAATCAAACAACAAAATTTTAAGTATTTTAATAACGTCACCTAGGGGAGAAGGGATTGCTAGTAATGGGAGTTAGTGACTCCATATGCTATCAATGTTATGTCAGGTTAATCTCCACGCCGGCCCCATGTAAACCATCCTGGCTAATTAGCCAGGTTTACATGGTCAAAATCATGGCGTCATGGTCAAACCACCAGGAATTCCTGGTGGTTTGACCATGATGGGATGGGATGACCAACTAACTGATCCGACTTCATTCGTTTTGTCAACCACTATCATCCTCCACTAGTGCCAAGCCACTGTAAACTTTCCCTTCCATTTCAGGAGTTACTTCATTCACCAATTAAAAAATGTTTAAGCTGTATGCTCGCTCACATTTAACAATATATTCTCTAAAAAAGTCATTCTAATTTCAGCGACCATTTCATGAAACCTTAACCAGCTACGCCTCATCAAGATGTCGTGAAGAAATAAAGAAGATGAACGGGACTTTTTTTTTATAAATATTGAATTGTAATATGTGTGTATTTAGTGCCAAAATCCTTTGACAACCTTCCGTTTAGTGCCTATATTTTAATACTTACTTGGCCACATTGAGACCCCGGAAGAACTTAGCAATATCCTGGTCGCTGGATTGCCAGGGGAGGCCGCGGGCGCGCACTATGCAATTATTATCAATCTCATCGTCTTTTGAGCTGAAACAATGGAAACATAACTTTATTTATTTGGCTCAAGGTCCAAACAGCAATGTACAGTAATAACAATACGCTAATTAAATAGTAATATTGTATATTTCCTATAATCTTTGACGACATTGTCTTGTCAATATTTATTTAATAGTTAAGCCCGCAACATTCCAGTTTTATTCGCTATAACAAGAATTTATATCTTTTTGGTTTGTAAACCGTATGTAACAAAACTAATTAACTAAAAGTCCCTGTGGTCTAAAGGTTAGCACACCGCCTTACTTCCTATGGTCGCGGGTTCAATCGAACTCACATGGCAGACATTTGTATTCATGACTATGACTGTTTGTGTCGGTCTTGGTGTTTTCTATTCTGAAATATGTATGTATTTACGAAAAAAAATTATGTATATGTATCAGTTATCTAGTACCCATAACACAAACTTTAGCTAGCTTAACTTGGGTCTAGATGGGGCTGTGTGCATTGTTCTGAGATTATTATTATTAAAACTGCAAAATTTACTGGCATTCCTTTAATCAAAATCAAAACTAAACTAATACCACGTGACTTGCAGTCACCATCTTTCGTACAAATGCGTCTATTGATCAAATATCATATTCAAATTGTATGTAACAGCGAACTTTATTATTATTATAGTAGACACAGTGTAAATTGTTTTGAAAGAAATAAACATTTTATAATGTAAATTATCATTGTCTGTCTGACACTTGGATGCTATTAATAAAAAAAAAAAAATTATGTGTAAAAACATTACAATTCTTATATAAGATAGACAAGTGACAACATAGTGTTGGTTTTAATAGTAGAAATGCAAATTATAATGTTGTGTTTCAATAAAAAAATAAAGGGAACAAGGTTTCCCATAGGTTTTCCAAATTCGAATTTAAAACTGAATCTGTATTATTGTAAATATTTACAACATTTATTTGAAAAGAATACGAGCTGAGTTTCTTGTCAGTTCTTCTCATCTCGAAATCATTCCGAACGGACGGTAGATTTAGCATATCATAAGATCAGATTCTTATGATATGACAAATCTACCGTCGGCCTATTACAGATAATAGACCTACATGAATAAAGATATTTTGTATTTTTTTTTAGTGGTGACACTGAGGTACCAATGCAGACGAATTTCGACAAAGGCTACCTCGAAATGTATAAATAACTAGCACACCGTCCCGGCTTTACATGGGTCCAATAGTTGAAGTTCTTCTTTTCTTAAAACTAAGATATCTCCTAAAGTGTTCGTTGAAATCAAACTATGTAAAGGACAATATTGTTCGAAATTAAATATGATAAATAACGTTTATAAGAACACCTTCGAACAATGTATTATTTTAGAAGAAATTTGATTACCATAAACAATGTGAGTTAACCTCAAACGATAAATATATGTTATTGCGGACTAGTTTTAGACCTTTTAAAGGAGAACAATTCCTTTATACATTCATTTTGTGTAACTTAACCATTTACGCAGCGCAAGCAGCGGAAGCACTCAAAACGCATAATATTTGCTACATTTTTCATTGCTGCTACGCTCCTATTGGTCGTAGCGTGATGTTATATTACCTATGCACTCAGGGATAATATACCTTTCTACCAGTGTAAGTATTTCTAAAATTGGATCAGCAGAACCCGAGATTACCCCGAACAAACAAGCATACAAACTCTAGCTCTTTATAAGCAGAAACAATTTTTTAGCATAATAATAAATAACCCTAGAAGAGCGTGATCTCCTATCACAAGTATTTAATTATACTTACGAGGAGATCTCAGCCCGGGCTAAGAAGATATATATATAGTAATGTATTAGTAATGTGAAACACTTTGGTAAATCATCACCTGCTTCTTCTTATCCCATTTATCTGGTATCGGCGTAATAAGTTTTTCTCTTCCATTCATCCCTGTTCGCAGTCATCTCGTTACTTACTCTCTTTCTTACCATATCATCTTTCACAATTTGGTAAATAAAATAAGTAAATTTAAATTTATAATATTAGTTTAGCATTTAATATTTAGAACACTATACGTCGAAGTAAATTCACAATACTGTAATCTCGTCACGGCGTACATGCGTTCACAAAATGTCGTAAAACTATCGTAAACTTTACTCAATTCCGTTGATAAATACAGTCACACGTTTTGTTTGCGAAGCAATATTTATTCATTGCAGTGGATTGGATGAAATGATGTTTAATATTACTCTGAAACAACAACTATTTCAAATAGATATATGACAGACGTATATAGATGGAAAAATTATTTAAATATTTATTATTTTTATAATAAACTTTTTTCATTTGATTAAACAATTAAAACAAATTTAAAAATAAGCTTTCAGGGCGAGCATAATATATATACGCAGGCTACAGGTCTAAAATACCTTACAATAGCCCAAAATCCTCAACTAACATATAGAAGCTTACATTTTCTTAATGAGTAAAAATACGTCGTTTTGAAAAATAACTGGAGGGTCCTTTTATATTTGCTCCCGTGAGAAGCTGAGGTTTTGCTATAGGTACCAATTACAAATCTTTACACAGTATATTTAAGACATTTGCCGCTGCTATCTGTTCGCTTAAATCATTTAAATTACGCAACGGATTTTAAAGTTTTCAGTAATAGATACTATGCTTCACGAGGAAGATTTATAAGTATAATTCATGCGTGTTATAGTATAGAACAAGCCGAGAAATTCAAAGATTTGTAATGCATCATGCATGCGCGAAGCCGGGACGGGTCCCTAGTAACAATAATATCAGTTGTACCTATGGGCCGATGTTTATGTGTTAATTAGAAGTCGTCTTATCCTTGTTTAGTTCAGCATTTATCGCTTTACTTTCAAATACCGATCATTCACCGAGTATAGGCGTCTCATCATCCATATCAAATTACCCAGAACAGAATGTAACGCAGCATCTTGAACTTGAAAAAAATATAAAGTCAACCTAACCCCTCAGCATATATTATTACCTCAACTTAGGTATATAAAATTAAAAATAGTATTTATAAATTCTTAAATGACATTAAGTCATAGTCTAAGAGACTTATGAAGCCTAATTTTGTGGTTCCAATGCTATAGTTTCAGAATATAGCTTTATTGCAAAATGTATTTAATTTATGTAATTGAATACCAAACAAGCTCATAGTCCACCTGATGGTAAGCGTTAACCGACGCCTATACACTTGAGGAGCACTGCGTAAATGCACTCTAGAATCAAAACATTGATTACAAAATTGAATGGTGGCTGAATAAAATAGATGAGGCGACAAAGGCGACTTTTTACATAAATAAATGTAGGTGTACGTAAAAATAAGTAATAAGTACGTAATAACAGATTCATTAAGTTTCGTGTCACTCTTAAAAGTTGCCGCTATTTACAAATTATGACTTAGTATTTCAGCTGTACCACATTTGTAATTAATTGTTAATGCACAATTAGTAAATGTCACCTGCACCATGCTACAGCTCATATGATATAATATAGTAAATAGGTACGTTAGGGTAGCAAGGTATAGCAAGTAGGTATTTTCGCAATCAAGTAGGTACCTACATAATAGCACCCTGATTAAAGAATTATATATTTTACAAATACGACAATATCTCTATTATCTTATCATATATACTTCCATACTCGTATAAGTAAATACCAGTGATTATACCCGGTTGTGATTAATGATTATATAGTAAATTTAAAGTAAATATATACCTATTTTTTTTGTAAACATCATATTAGATAAGGTCTGATATTACATCAATATACTTAGCACAAATACGTTATAACTCAAGAAACAATACGGCAATAATACTAGTACCATAGAGCAATGAACACTGTTTTACATAAGTTAACATCGCCGTTCTGACAAATAAATGTCATTACAGTCAGATTTTTATACTACTGTAATGCTGTGGGCCGCAGTTGGCCTATACAGCTTCACCCGACGATAGGGGGTGAGCGCAGGCACACCAAACTCACGGAAGGACTTATGAAGCGGCTGAAGGCCAACTCAGTAGCTGACGTACTTTACGTGAATTTCGTCTGAGGGCACCGCTAGGGGTCCAAACATCGGCTCAGGCTGTCGTAATTTCGATCCCCGTTGGAATTGGATAGAATATCGATAAGAGTGGCGCTCGAGGCGCCGGTATGAAGCGAATTTTTCTAGTGAGGCGGGATTGTATATGCAGACAACTACTTCAATGAAATCTCTGAATGAATTGCTAAAAATGGCGGATAAGTGCGGGGAAAAATATCTTAGTCTTCCAGAAGGTAACGCATTCAAGTCTTATAAAAAATCTAGATACGAGATTGGAAGACAAATATCCTAGATTTTTGAAGTCCTTTCCTTAGAAAAAAGGTTGGCAACCTTGTTATTATCTCATTGCCAGTATAGTACCATTTTAGGTTGACCTTCACGCGGTTTCTCGTGAAAATCATCGTGATAAATTCCAGGCGAATTTGTCACAATAAGCTAACTGACATGACCTCATGCTCATTTGATCATCCTCTAATGGTACCTAAAATATATGGCCCATCTGATGGTAATGGTAACCTTTAGAATGATCAATCACCAGGGGTTTTATGTCCGCGTTGCCGACCATTAGGAAACTGGGAGAAAGGGGATTGTTAGTAACGTAGACTAATAACCCCATAGCAATGTACCATGTTAGGTTGATCTCCACCTGGAAACCATCATGATAAATTCCTGAATTTATCTCAACGAGCTAGCTAACTGACCTGACCTCATGCTCTCATGCTCATTTTACCAGAGTAAACCGTTAACACAGGCACCCGCCGCACCATTCCATTTTATTCATAAAAAAAAACTGTTATTGTATACCATGACGACTATGATTGACGTAAACAACATGTTGTGTACGATATGACCTTACAAGTGTCATCTGTTTTTGTTATCTATCGGTTTATAGATAAACAAATATATTCTTAATGAACCACAGTTTCCTGTGAAGAAACGGAAGGGTCAAAATA